CGGATGAATACAAGCCAATATTCTTGAAATGACAAAATAGTCCATAGTACAGTGCACCTAAAAATTATAATTATTAGTGTCTGATCTTGATTGGAAGATTGAGAGTATGTTTAAGTGTTACAGCAACGCCTATAGGCGAAAATAAACAGTGATTTCTCCTATGCTCATCACCGTCTAAAGTTGGAAAACAACCTCTGTCTCCCCTACAACCTCTCATTCACTTCTAATCTCCTTTTCTCATCTCTCTCTCCTAAAGGAGCATGCCCCACTACTCTCTCTTCTCTTAGACCTAAGAAGAAACTAAAAGTTGGAAAAATTAGAAGGAGCCTAAGTTAATTTTGGGGGTTAAAGTTTAGTAGAGATTTTATGGGTGGTTGCCTAGTTTGGCCGAAATCAGCTATCCCGGTTCGAGATTGAAGCTAGACTACTGATCCCGTGCCATTGGATGTGGTGACTCGGTGTGGGGTATAATAAGCCCGGTAGAGTTAATCTCCTGCATCTTCTCATTTACTTACTTTGCTCTTTTATTATATATTCTCAAGCATAGTATTAAGTTATAAAAATTGGCATCAAGTGGTTGAGTTTTAATTTTTTTGTTGTCCTGTTTTATTTTGAAATATTTATTTATTGTAAGAGACCATCTGTATGCGAACTTTTTTCCAAAATAAAATGGGTGATTATAATCATTAAAAAAAAAAAATTGTATTCCCATGGAAAATATCACATAGTTCTTTCTTTCATACACATCTCTCACTACTTCGACAAAATCCAGCTATGGCAACAAAGGACTGAGCTTCCACATAGATAAACCCAAAATTTTCAAGGTGATGGCGATCACGTATGAACATAATCCCTTTATAAATATGTTCCACAGGGCCTTGCTTCTCCTACAGAATAGTAACATACAATTATTTACCAAGAAAAGAGTTTGGCCTCATCTTAACAGATTAGATATTAGAATCTTCTCCCTCATGAATCCTAACAACATCCTTCAAAGATACTGTGCTACCATAGCGATCTTGGGTACTACGCTTCCGCTTTATCTTCTTTCTAATCTCTCTTGACTTAACCCAAACAACCTCTGCCCTCTCCGGAACTTCTTTGAGAACATGAGAAAAAAGTTAAATTGCTCATTTTGAATTTAAAATGCAACCGTTCCACCAAACAATTAAAACGATTTAAAATGTAAGTGAAAAAGATTTAGTGCCACACATGCTCACTTGAAATGCATCACTCTCTACACGTATGATGACACCATAGCTGGAGTTACTGACACACATTTGACTCCACCACGTTAAAAAGAAAAACGCAATAAAAGTTTTTTCACGTCAAAAAATATCTGCTTATTTAATAATTAGCAAAAAGAATATGACCTTACTCCATTTGCATTAGACGATGTAACACATAATCCCCAAGTTTTGTAATACCGAAAGTTATTTCAGAACTTTCCACCACAATATCAGCAAAAACTCGGATCTGAATACACCAATCGCAAATAAAATGAGTCAATGAGTCTTACAAACTGAAAGAAATTCACTCTTACCACCCATTATGACCAGCGACATGTATACAAAATAGCGAAGTTACTTACACCTTCCTTGGTGGTGTCCGATGAGATGATGAGAACATGTCCCTCCACCTTGACAACCATACCGGTAGCTCCTTCCTGAGCACCTGAGACTACCTTCACATGGTCACCAGGTTTAAAGTATTTGCAGAGTTCTTTCTCATTAACAGCCAGGAATTCCTGAAAGGCACGTAGCAAGATTATCATATAATACCCAGATGAACAACTTATTCTGAACTTTTAGAAACATAAAAATCAGAGAATAACTACTTTGAAGCCTGGGATGTTCGATCTTATGTAGACACTCTCTTCCTCAACCTTCTCAACCCATCCCATCAGATTCTTGATATCACCACGGACGACGATTACCGCATCTCCTTTCATAAAATGGCCCTTTTTTCTATTTGCAAACACGGTTGACAAACCGGCCATATCGCCATCTGAATCTTTTCCAGGCTTCCGGAACTTCTCTAGTTCATCAAAACTGGGTTGTATGTTCTGGGAACTAATAGACTTCATTGACACAGTTTTATAAAGATAGCCATCTTTGAACATCATCCCATCAATAGTTTCAAAGTATTCCCCCGTAATTGCATCCTGCTTTCGCTCAACGGGGATATGCATATACCTGAAATTATAAAATTAATAATAAGGTACTACCGATCCCAGTTGAACTCAAACATGTAAAGTAACAATGGGCTGCGATATCTTCAAAAAGTCATGGTTGATTGAGGTCATCACCATCCATTTTTTTAATGAGAGATGAGGACCAAATGAATGATAGCTTTCCATAGCCAGTTGCAAAATAGTAGTATACTTTTCCATCATTAAATGCACAAAGGGAGTATATCATATTTTACTTCATCTCACGGTTGTTGATAAACCGTGGTGGAGGAACAAAGTTCTTCTTCTTCTTCCCGACCTCGTTGCCCTCCTAATACAATCAAGAAATGGTCTATCATAACGTGTATCTATCGAGAAGAGTCAAACAGTAAGATGCTTACCATGTCGTGTACATTACAAACCAAGGTGCAATACAAAAAGGAAGTGATATATGAAGATGGGAAAACAAATAGAAGATTACCAATTTGTTAGCCAAAGCTTTGAGGTCGATCCTTGGGATAAGCTTTATTGTAACTCTTTGCCTCACATTATCAACATCTAAAACCTGCAGAGGTTGGCATTCATAAATTTCCATAAAAGCAGTAAGAATAACCCAAGAGAGGAAAATGAAAGACAAGTATACCTTTGCCAGATCGCCTTTATAAGTTCCGAGTTTCAGACGCACCCATGTATCCTTCGAAAGCTCAACAGATTTACTCTTAACTGACAGAACATCTGTCATCTCTTTGATTGGTACAAGCATCGGTTTGGTATTTGAATAGATGTGTTGCATTCCTTTACAAGCCTGGACCCGGGAATGGTATAAACAAAAACCAGAAAATGAAGTTCGTAGACACAAATAAAAGTTATAGATGGGACATACCTCCTTGACATGAGCTTCCTTGTCTGCTTCAATGTATATATAATTCGTCAAATAATCCAATGTAATAACCGACTTTATCTGTTGTTTTATTCCTTGAGATTGCACATCCATACATTTCTCCATCAAGCAGAAAGCCACCTCTCTTTCATGGCCATTCTAATAAAAACATAAAACATCAAAATTAAGAGTATATAACAAAAAAGATTAAAGGAAATGTCCTCCTACTTTGTTTTCTCTCCCTCACTGGCTCAACATACCGCGCATTTGACCGTCCACAGCTTTAGATCTTTCACTGAGGGCAAAAGAGCTTGTTGCACAACCTGTGTAGTCTCCTCCTCGTGTTTTAAATGATCTGATCGACCATATTTTTTCTTAATTAACCTTTCAAGGTCTTCCACATCCTGTTCTTCCTCTCGTGGAAGGAAAGGCCGACGATGCACTCGCCATTCGTCCTCGTCTTGCAACTCCTTTCCCATATCAATAAAATCTGTCACATGAACATGAAATAAAGGTATACAATTATGCAAAATATTTCTATTTGTTGAGAAATACTAAAATAGGGCTATGCATAATTGCTTCAAGTAATGAAATTCTAGTAGTTTTTGAAGTCAAACAATAATTCGATGATTATTCTCTATGAAGTACATCACAACACTGACATGAATGCTTCGAGATTGATAATATCAGAGCAGCAATATATACACCATGACTGTTTAGACTCAAGAGGAAACGCCCTTCACAATCTCAATTATAGAAATTTATTTTCCTACTCATATCAAACCATAAAAAATCAAAATAGAAGCCGCATCTTTCTCGCATTATCAAAGCACCAAGAGTGGAACATCATTCTCCTGCCATTAAAGCAGAGGTTCAAAGATCAGGGAGCAAAGTAGATTCACATTAGGTACTTATGGCTATACTTAAACGTGCCAGTCAAAGTTGAGCCTATAGGTTTGACATTCCTGCATAGCGGGGTGATTTGATTAGATCTGTCTAAAGCTCTCAAACAACACGATAGCCACTCTCAGAGAAAATCAAGAACAACATGTGCGGTCAAACACCCAATATTCAAATTTCGTCTTCTTACCTCAAAGAGAGCCTTTGAGGAATGCAGATTCTCCTGTGCCCTCTCTATGTAGTGTATAAGGACCTTTTTATGTATTTATTAACTTTACATGAACTCGTATAAATTAAGAACCCATACGGTTTCTTGATCCTACGCGTATATGGGTGATTTCTTGATTCTACTTATCCTTTTAGATGTTGATAAAATAGGATATGTATGAAAATCATCATGTAATAAAGATTTTAAAAGAAATCTAGCCCATAAATAATCAAGAAAATCTTCGCACCCACCATCTAACTTTGAATTTGGACTTCACGGAACCATGACCAACAACATCCTGCTGCATCTCTATTTCTAATATTCTTCCTTTTAAAAATAAGACTTGATCAATCATAATACATAGTTTTTGTTTTTAAAAATCTGGAATTTTATTATAGCTGATTTTTAGAAGCATAAAAATTCATTCAAAAATACAAAGCTATTCAAGTAATAAAAAAAGAAGAAACTATACCCTCAAGAGTCATATATTTTGTTAAAAAAAAAAAGTCATCACAAAAAGAAATTGTTATGAGAAGATAGAAAATTTGTTTTTTGTAGTAAAATGGGCAGAGTGTTTGGGAAGCATTTAAAAAATATTTGTAAAAAAATTGGATGATTAAATATTTTTGAAACACAAAATATTGTTGAAAAATAACTTTTAACTTTTATATTATAAAATTCTATATAAAATAGGCTACTTAGTCACAAATGAAATAAAAAAACAATTCTCAAAAAAAAAAATAATCAATGTTCTTATGAAGAATATAATAAGAAAATAAAGTTTTAAAATATCATAACAGGGGAAAAAAAATGGACAAAATATTTTTAAGTTGGAAAATAAAGTACAAAAATGTTGGGAATGGAAAACAAAATGAACATATTTTTCAAAAATTTAAGCATTGAGTAATTTAAAAATAAAAAAGTAAAAATCTGCCATAGACTATTTATAAAGGGCCAACCTTAAAATTCAAAATAAGCTGCAACTCCTAATTTTATCATAATATGTAATTTTAGTGCAAAAACATTCTCAAGATGGCTTGAGAATCTATTTTCATCTCCAATTATAAAATTTTAAACTTCAAAAATAGTTGATATCAATTAGATCTGTACATAAATGAAAATAAATATTTAAAATAGACAGTCCAGATAATGTGTTGCAATGTGCAATATTTTATAGACTCAAATTCTTTACATGTTTCATACGCATACATCTTGATGCCTATATGATCAATCAAAAGGTTTTCTAACGTCAAAAACCCTTTCTTCGATGGATTTTTTATGTGTGCTTTAGTTCTCTAATTTACGGTTGCAATCTTATTTAAGTATTTTCCATTTGTGAATATATAAACTCTTTTTCATTAATAAATGTAAAAGCTTATACAAGGGTGAGACCCTAAACAATCACATTAAGGCACACCTCCAAAATTCACTATAAAAGGTTGATTGGATGCTAAAAAACCCTCAATTTGGTTGTGTCGACCTCAATATGTATAGAGGTCAGAAAAAAAAGAAAGAAAAAAGAGAATTCAAATCTTGAAAATAGTACATCGTATAATATGGGACCTAAAAACATGGCCCTAAACTATATTGTATCATCCCAATCCACCACATTTTTTGTTTTTACAATATGACCCTAAACTATATAGAATTGTGGGGCCTTACTGTGTCTTATGGTCACCCCAAAGAATGGATTTTGAAAATCTAGACCAGGGAAATTAGGTCATTTAAAAGAATTAACCATTGAAGAAATTATAGGGACCAACAACAATTCAGATTAAAAAAAAAAAAGGGAATGAAAATGGTACAAGAAAGAAACAAATGGAAAAAACCGATATTCAAATTTCATCAAATAATCCATGGGTTTTCTAATATTAACGTACCTCAAAGAGGCCCTTTGAGGAATGTAGATTCTTGGGTTGGGTTTTTTAATATTAACATACGTACCTCAAAGAGAGCCTTTGAGGAATGCAGATTCTCCCGTGCCCTCTCTCTCTAACTATTGCTCTGGTTTTCGCTCTCGAAATGAATCTGTAATATGTACGGACATTCTATGTATATATATATTTTTATGAACTCGTAAGGTTTTTTCTGGGAATAAAACCAAAGTAACAAAAATCAAGAACTCATACGGTATCTTGATCCTACGTGTTCTTTGAATGTTTTCTCGTTCCTACTTATCTTATCCTTTTATTCCGGATGCGATTGAGTGCTAAGAGAAAAAATGTATGAGAAAAAGTTCTAGAGAGAGAAAACGCACTCTTTCTGAATTAATAAAATAGGATATGTATCAAAATCATCATGTACTAAATATTTGAAAAGAAATATAACCCATAAAGATCAAAAAAATCTTCGCACCAAAACCAACCATCTTACTTTCAATTTGGACTTACACGGAACCCTCACCCACGTCCTACTGCATCTCTATTCCTAATATTCCTCCCTTTAAAATTAAGATTTGATAAATCATAATAACTATTTCTTTTATAATATATAAATATGTAATTTTACTTCAGCTGATTTATAGAAGCATTAAAATTCATTAAAAAATACAAAATTATCCAAGTAATAACAAAAAATGTAGAAACTACACTCTCATGATTCATATATTTTGTAAATCACAAAATGAAATTGTTATGAGAAGTTGGAAATTGGTTATCTGAAGAAAAAATGGGTATAGTTTTTTGAAATATTTAAAACTTATGACAAGAAATTTGGATGATAAAATATTTTTAAAACATGAAATATTGTTGAAAAATTAATTTTATCTTTATATATTTAAAAAAATCCATATAGAAAATAGGTAAGCTAGTCACAAATGAAATAAACTATCAAAAAAATCACAAACAAAAAAAAAATAATGTTTTTTTTAAAGATTACAATAAGAAAATATAGTTTAAAAATATTGGAAAAGGAAAAAAGAATGGACAAAATATTGTTAAAGTTGGAAAATAAAGTACAAAAATAGTTGAAAAATCCCAAATAAAATTTCAATGGAAATAAACAACAACTATGGGGCCGTACGTCCCAAATTTTATTTGCCCAAAAGAAAAAAGTGTCATAGCGATTTCAAATTTTGAAAATCTTAAATTTATTTTAAAACTAAAATTTTGAAATCTATAACATCATCACTTAACATTTTCAGATTTCAAAAATCTAAAATTTACTTTAAAGTTAAATTTTCAGATTTTGAGCATCCAAAAATTACATTGTCCTGCTAGATCATGTACTTCTTTTTAAATTTGTGCATTTAAATATTTTTAAGGGAAAAATAAAAAAATAAATGCTCCTATGGAATTCTATATTTTCCATATTTCTCGCATTTTAATTACAAAATTTTACCGAATGAGTCTTCTTGTGTTAATGCATGGAATTCAATATACATGTTCAACTCATTAAAGAAGAAAATTTATATAACTAATAAAATAAAAAGTAAAATAAAAATAATTCTTAGACCCGGTGGAGATTACATACCTCTTAAAATAGTTAAGTTCCAAGTCTTCGGACAAGCCAAAATAGGGTGTGTGCAAGGAAAGGATCGTTGATAGCCAAATTGTGGAGGGAGAAGTGTTGAAAAAAAATTTAGAGAGAGAAAGAATTGGGAATAGCGTGCCCATCTTATTGCTGCAATTTATAATAAGTCGATTTATAATTAAAATTAGTTTTAAAATAAAAAAATTAAAATTATTAATAAGATAGTTCCGTCAAAATATAGAAAACCTAGAGATGATAGAGAGAGAGTAGAGAATACCTCTCCTGTTTCACTCATTCCACATACAAAAGATTTTCAAGTTAGGGTATATATATATATATATTAGAGAAAATTACCTTTGAGGGTAATCCATGAAAGAATGCCCTACACAAATATTATAAAAGACAATTTCAATCTCTCTCTTAACAAGTTCTTGGACTCATAATGATTACCTGAAAACAGTTCTCCTTATTTGTAGGAACCAAAGAAAGTATTTTTAGGATTTTAATTCTTTTTTAATTGGAATAAATTTACTATTGGGATTGAAGTTTTCCAAAACTTTTTTTATTAAGATTTCAAATTCCTTTTTGATTTTATCTCGTATCAAATTCTAAACCCACTATCATAAATATTAATCTCTACTTAATACCAATCTGATAACTTTCAAATCCATAACGATATGAACTACCAGACATTCTTTTTCATTGCCTAGTCCCACTCTCTTATTCATGCGGCACTCTGTCTCTTATTGTCGTGTTTTTGGTTGATAAATGAGGTTTTCACGAAGACAGGATAGGGTTATCTCTCTCTAGAAACCATTTTCTCTCATCAGCGGAGATGAAAGAAAGAGAGAGAGTGAGATTTTTTTTCCACTTATTTTAAAAAGAAAAAACAGAAAGTAAGCTATCCATTATGAGAATGCTCAATTAACTCTATTAAAAAAAAAAAAACTTAGATTGAAACACCATGAAAAATTTTCTTTTTATTCCAATAAAAACACACAAAAATAAGACAGTTGAAAGTGAATAAAAAAGAAATAGAGAAATAAATAAAAAAATATGACACACATAAATAAATTCAAGAAGAAGAAGGAGAGAGGGGGAAGGGGGAGGGGGTGGTGGGGTTGGGGGAGTGGAGAAAGAGAATACAAAGAACTTCTAAAAGCGTTAATGGTGACAGATCAAAAAAAACAAAGAGGAGAGAAGGAGAAGAAGAACATGCATGACTCTCACGCTCTGCAATGCAAGCATACAGAGAAAAAAAAATTGATATTATTTTGAAGTCTTCAACAAACTAAACATACCAACAAAAAATCCAGAGCAATGGATTTCCACACTCTCTCTTTCCTCTTCTCTCTGTATTTCTCTAAACAAGTTTTGAGCAATGAGGTGGTTTAATTTGCAGGGTCATTATATACGCATATTTGCTTGATGCGTGGTTTCTTGATCCTACTTTTCCTAATATGACGAATAAGAAATAAGAAAGAGTATTAAGACAGAGAGTATTCTGGAGAGAGCTCTCAAGGGGTTATTTTGACGATTTATCTTTATGACTATTTTTCACAAGAGATAAAATTTATAAGATAGGATATATACCAAAATCGTGTAATAAAATTTGTAGAAGTTGTAAGAAGAAATATTAAGGATAGAGAATCAATAAAATCTTAGGACCAAAACAAACGATCTACTTTTTAATTTGGACTCACTCGCGACCGTAACGAACGTCCAACTACATCTCTATTTCTAATATTCTTCCCATTAAAATGAAATTGTTATCAAAAGTTTGGAAATTGTTTTTATTTAATAGAAAAAGAAAGGTATATTTTTTTTGAAGCATTTAAAAATTTATGACAGGAAATTTGGAGGATAAAATATTTTAAAAAGCAGTAAAATAGAAACAAAAAAAAAAAAAGTTCTATTAAAGATTATTCAGAAAAAGAAATTGTTATGAAAAGTTTGGAAATTGGTTTTCTGTAAAAAATATAAATAAAAATAAAAATATTAAAAAAATTGGTATAATGTTTTTTTTAGTATTTAAAAATTTATGACTATAAATTTGGATGTTAAAATATTTAAAGAAGCAGTAAAATAACAAAAAAAAAAAAAGTCCTTTTAAAGATTATTTATGAAATGAAGTTGTTATGAAAAGTTTGGAAATTGGGTTTCGGTAAAAAAAATTGGTAGAATTTTTTTTGAAGTATTTAAAAATTTATGACAAGAATTTGGATGATAAAATATTTAAAAAAAGCAGCAAATTAGCAAAAAAAATTATTTTAAATATTATAATAAGCAATCATATATTTTGTAAATCACACAATGAAATTGTTATGAAAAGTTTGCAAATGGATTTTCTAAAATTGTTCAGCTATTCCATTTTGAATACACAAGTGCCCCTAAAACTAACCAATAACCAAAACTAAAGGAGCAAGAGAGAATGATAGAAACAAAGAAGATTGCAACTCAACTTAATCAAATATTGCTGACTCCTACCTGGTCTGCGTTTCCGGCCTTTGTTCATGGATACATTTCCTTTATTTGCTTTTGATATTTTCATTCGTCTCCGCTTCTCGCTTTCATCCAGTTTAGCAGAATCATCAATAAACTGATTCGGCTCACAATTTCCATAAAAAATCAATGGTAAATTATTTTTCTCTCCACCTTCACTCTGAATTAAATAGTCTAATTCCATTGTGGCCACAGCCTTAATGAAAATCCCCATTTTGCATAGAAATATGGCGCCTTTCAAACTTCGTTTTATGTTGGATACGAAAGCACGTTTTCCATATAGGACCAACTCTTTGCCCTTCTTTAAAAGCACATCGTAATGAAGTAGATTCATGAAAATGCAAACGAATGCACGGTGGTCCAAGGTAAGTTTGGAACGGAGACTTGAAATCAGTAATATCTGCCAGAAACATTAAAACGGGAGTAAAACTCAATGAACATGCCATAAGTTTCATAAAAAATAAGACTGTAGAAATATGAAATCCCAAGAAACTATTTCATAAGGGCCTGCTTACTATGAGAACATTTATCTTTGGTATAAGGAGTTCAAAACACCCCAGCCATTAGATGCCAAATCTAACAGGTTTGGGTGTGTCTCAAAGTTAAAGAAATCTTCAGTTGACTATTGAGCCTGGTCAATGGCACAAGCCCAACCTCCAGATTTCAATCTAATAGCAGGAATTGTGACCTCCTTGTAACAAAGGTAAATGTTATTGGATACTTTTTTTATTTCATAAATTCCCAAATAAAAAGTGAAAACCATAAATGAATTAAGTTTCTATGTTGCAATAATCTAATGCCAACCTGCTTGCAAACACATTTGTCTCTCTCAATGTGCTTAGTATCATCATGGGAAGGTGGGTTGATGACAAGATAAATTGCCAGTACATGAGTATGTGAGAAAGAGAGAGAGAGAAATGGATACTAGGATAATCTCACATAAAAGTGTGTTGTTCAATATGGTTTCAGTTTTTCTCTTTGGCATATTTCCATATGCAATTTCACTATTCATCTTAGATAAAGAACTTTAATTCCTATACCAAGAAACAAGAAATTTGCCCACATAAGGAAACATGGGTTAACAATAGTTACTGAGTCAGGATCAGGACCACGTGATCGTGACGAACAGAAAGCTCTCTATGGTAGGGGTCGTAGCCGCATACCCCGAAATCTAGAGATCGCAATCCCAATATGTGACACAGAGATGGGTTGGAGCAGAGAGATCCTTTGTGCTACTGATCCTTGGGAGGCAGAGTAGGTATACTATATCTCGATTATCAAGTCATCAGACTTTAAGTTCACCTGAGCATAAAGAATTAACCAAGGAGGGTTTTGGGTTAGCCCTTGATGAGGTCGGAGCTTATGCCTAGATGAGTGAGCCGAGGGACTGTGTGACCCGTGTGTGTGATGGTAGGCCTACTGAAATGGTGGCCAAAACCTCATCCATGTTCCATCACACGGTATGCATATCTATAGATCGTTCGGGAAAGCTAGATATCCACCATTGGGTGAAGCGTATGCATGTGCGAAAGATACTGTTGTGCACCATAAAGCTGTGGTCGCATCAGGTTGTGATGACATTGACTCTTCTCTAAGGGAGGACAAATAATCCACAGACTAAAATTGCGACCCCTTGACTCTTCAGGCAGACTTTGGTGACCAGTTAATGAGCCCCTGCTTGGACTGTGGGTCATGGGAAACACTTTGTCAGTTCGATAAAGCTAGTGTGGTCTGTAGTTCACAGTCTAAAGTGGAGTACCCCATAATTACAGATTGAATTCCTAAAACCATATGGATCCTTTTTCCATCATATTAATTTAATTATGTTCATTTTATTATAAAATTATTTTAGATCTATTATTTGAATTAAGTCATTTCATATTTTATTTATTATATTTAGACTTATAAAAATGAAGTTATTAATTTACCAAGTTATAATGTTTTAAAATTCATTTTGTTCAATTTTAAAATATTTATAAAAAATACATCGAGTCCCATAGTGCACATGGGCCCACCATGTGGGTATTGGGTGGGGCCCCACGTGCCTCATATGGGTGGCACGCCCCACCCTTGGATGCCTCTTCTTGATTACTCTGAGTACAAGTTTATTGAATGTGGTAACTCTATTTTGTAGTATATGGTCAAATATTGATTAGGAAATATTGACTATATCTTATCTTGATTATTGAAGGAATATCTCGACTTGAAATTATTGAAATATTCTTATGGAAAATATGAGATGGAATATGCAATTTTATGGTATGCACTATATCTTTGATAGATTTAATTTATTTAAATATATTGATGGGAAAATGGTTTAAGAAAATGGAAATAATGGTCCATGTACCTTCCATAATGTTGATGGCCCATCTATAGAATGGATGACTCAGATCTCTCACCCCACAAAGCACCTTGATCAACAGTCCATATCTCTCTCCCACAAAAAGTATGCGACAAAAACGATTAAAGGAAATGTCCTCCTACTTTTGTTTTCTCTCCCGCACTGGTTCAACATAACTTTTGTTTTCTCTCCCGCGTTGGCTCAACATACCGCGCATTTGATCATCCACAGATTTGGATCATTTGACCATCCACGGCTTTGGATCTTCATTGAGGGCAAAAGAGCTTATTGCACAACATGTGTAGTCTCCTCCTCGTATTCTAAGTTATTTGATGGACCATATGTTTCTTTAATTAACCTTTCAAGGTCTTCCAAATCTTGTTCTTCCTCTCGTGGAAGGAAAGGCCGACGATGCAGTCGCCATTCATCCTCGTCTTGCAACTCATTTCCCACATCAATAAAATCTGTCACATGAACATGAAATAGAGTTATATAATGATACAAAATATTTCTATTTGTTGAGAAATACTAAAATAGGGCTATGCATAGTTGCTTCAAATAACGAAATTCTAGTATTTTTTGGAATGAAACTGTAATTCGATGATTATTCTCTATGAAGTACATCTGAGCACTGACATGAATGCTTCGAGATTGATAATATCATTCAGTGATTCTTCTCTATGAAAGTACATCACAGCATCGAGATTGATAATATCAGAGCAGCAATATATACACCATGACCGTTCAGAGTCAAGAGGAAACATTCTTCATCATCTCAATTATAGAAATTTATTTTCCTACTCATATCAAACCATAAAAAATCAAAATAGAAACCGCAACTCTCTCACATTATCAAAGCATCAGGAGTGGAACATCCTTCTCCTGCCATTAAAGCAGATGTTCAAAGATCAGGGAGCAAAGTAGATTCACTTTAGGTACTTATGGCTACGCTTAAACGTGCCAGTCAGAGTTGAGCCTATAGGTTTGACATTTTTGCATAGTGGGGTGATTTGATTAGATCTGTCTGAAGCTCATAAAATTCAAACAACAGGATAGCCACTCCTAGAGAAAATCAAGAACAACAGGTATGGTCATTTTCCCCACAAAATAACGTACAATCTACGCACATTCTCCACGATCTTATTGAAGAAAAGAATTTAAATATTTTTAAAACAAATGTACATTCTAGGAAATTTACTAGTTTTTTTCATTACCGGTTGAAAGAACTTATGATCCAAAGAGAGTCAACTTATCCCAGAAAATAAATGAGTCAAAATATTTTATTCAGTATAATTCTTTAAAGAAAGTAAGCTTCAATTATCGCATCGAAAATGATTGCAAGTTACAAGAGCTAGGTACATTAGAGCATATGGCCATTAAAACATTAAATAAACACTCGTGCCTACAACAAATAGCATTACATAACATAGGCATAAATTAAATGTAAATTACAGAAATTCATATGAAGTAAATTAATGTCAATGTAAATTAAATAAATTGAAAATATTAACTAAAGAGAGGGAATTGTGAGATGAAGAAAATAAGTGAATGAAATATAAAACATGATATTTTCCTTCTTTTGACTTTTTTTTTTTTTTTTTCTTTTTTCCTTTTTTTTATATGTTTTATTTATTTATTTATTTATTTTTCTCTTTTTCCTTTCCAAAACATTCAATGATATGAACTACAATGTAGAAGATTTTTTACAGTATGAACCATTCTGAGGGATTAGAAACCCCATAATCAAAACCATCCAACAACATACTCACATCTTGAAATAAAATTCTACTTTCCACAAATTTGTAGTAATTAAACTGAAGAAAGAAATTGGAAAGAGAGAGAAAAAAGAATCAATAGAGAGAGAAAGAACTAAAATCGCGCTTAACGGCATCTCCTTCGTTTTCCTCTTCGTCATCATCATCACTGGCAACTGCAGCGATATCGTTCAAAATCTCACAACCAGATCAACTCTTGCATTTTCTCAAGCGGTAATCATCTTCAACCACATCATCTATCAATTCTGTTCTCTTTTGCTTCTTCTTCTTCTTTCCACCATCATAGTCCTCTTCGTCTTTTTTGTAATGTCTGGTCATGACTATAAGTCCGAAGTTTCATTGCGAACGAATTAGGTTTAGGAACAAAGAGATGAGCTTTGCTAATTAATTAAAGAAAGAGGGGGAAAGTACAAAAAAAACTTCTAAATGCATTAATGGTGTACTTCTAAATGGCATTAATATCGTCTCTTGATCATACGAGTTCGGAATATCAACTCTCTAATGGATACGACTCTTTGAAATTTAAAAACAAATGCAGCAAGTTTATCTTCTTATCTTTGTTGATAGAGGAAATGAGAAAAAAACATCAACATGACAACCTCATTAATTACCCACCAGTATACTTATTGCTCAACAGCACATGACCCTACATTAGAATATTTAGCAGACTGAGAGAGTATACTTATTGCTCAATAACACATGACCCTACATTAGAGCATTTAGCAGACTGAGATATTAGGTATACAAAACAGCGGTCCTGCAGCTTGTCTAAGTTTTAGAAAGTTCGCTTAAGAAAATTTCCGAAGTTTAAGTTTGTCTTTTTTTTCTGGAAACTTCCATTATAACAATTCTCTTTCTTACACAAACTGGAGAAAGAAGGATTACATAATTTTATAAGCCCTAAAGGACCCATCACTATACATTTATAGGCTCATTGGTGCATAAGGATTGCATACACCGTCACGCATGGCAGTTCGCATTCCATCATGGATTGGCGTGGCCCCTGTACATAAAAGTCATCATAGATACAGGAAAGTGAATTTCATCTCCATCGGGATGGAGCAGTATGCATATGAAAAAGGAGGAAATAAGTTTCAT